TTTGGGGGTCTTCAGGGTCTTTTATGTGCTATTTTGTGATTGCATATAGACAACATAGCCGGCCTGGTTGAGTTACCCCCGTTTAGAACTGGGCTAATTAGAAAACAGCCGAAGACCACCAAACCCCCAGTTCTATAAGCCTGCTACGGAGGCTAGAGTAAAGGTGTGTTGTAGTGGGGTGTAGATTTAAGTCGGAAGTGAGGAGGTGTTCGAGATTCTTATCGCGCAAATTTTTTGTTGGATTGTCCTTCGGCCAGGTTAGTGAGGTCGTTTGTCTTTTGAAGCAGCGATGTGGGCTTCTGATTGGTCAATCATGCGGAAACATGAGGGTTGTTGGTTACCTGTTGCGAACCTATAGTAGAGAATTATTGTGCCTAACCTTTCCATTGGACAGTGATCACTTAATATACATGCAAGTACCCCAAATTCCCGGCCGCTGCAGTGTTGTATCCTGTACTTCTGTATCTGTATAGTGGTATATATATATATAATTATATATACCATCATACATGTATGTATGTACGTACCTACAGACACACACACACACACACACACACACACACACACACACACACATAACTGCCCTTCAGCTTAACACACCAAACAACTGAGGTTCATTTTGGATTTTCAGAAGTGTTACTAACTTAATCCCCTACTAACAGTTGCATGCTTGTGGTGATGTTCACAGCTAGCATTACAGCAGACACAAACAGTAGTGGAGGGCCAGAATTGAGAACAGGCATTCTGATGATCAGTGTACTAACTTAAGTTCCAGCGTTCAACCACCAAATCTTGCAACAATTCTAATGATGTTATAATCTTACAATTCTTTTTTTTAATCGCTAATCCCCCACTAACAGTTGCATGCTTGCAGGGATATTAGCAGACTAGTGTTACAGCAGGCACAAAACACGGGTCGAACAAAGTTCTCCTACAGCCATTCTAAAAACGACTGAGGTCCATTTTGGTGTATGACTTTACAAAGATCACAACTGTTCTTTCAGTTTCATCCATTGCTAATCCACTGCATGCTTGTGGAGATATTAACAGACTAGTGTTACAGCAGATACAAACAGAGGAGGACCGGTTTCTACAGCAGCCATTCTGCACATGGCTCACATTCCACGCACGCCGGCGCATGGCCGCAGCCAAGAACGTTTCCCCAGTGTCAATGGCCGACAAATCCGGCCAATTCGTTTTTGAGAGAGGGGCCCTTATATTTCAGACTCGGGTTACGTCTTCAACCACCAAAGTCTCACACTCAATCAGACAATGATACACAATTATAAATAACACCAACCGAACTGTGTATGGGTGAAATAGCCGCCTCTGTTGCAGGCATGCGGGCGGAATCCTGACAAGTTGGATTTAAATTCTAACGTCACGTTGTTTTGAGTCTGAAGCTAGGTCAGGAAGCACGTCGTGGATATACATTTCTAACGGGGACATCAAACTAATTTGTTGGTTCTCGGATTTCAGAATGATAGGGATGATCTTCAATTGCATGATCTTGCCCACATGGGCTAAATGCAGTAGTTATCAATGGTATTTGTAAGTTAATTACAAATTCCTGCCCGAAGGCTAATTGCAATAACAAAGAGAAAAGAACATACAAAATAACTTCAAAATCTACATGATAGACGGTAACTGTCTAAAACCATAGCTATGTCTAAAACTATGTCTGAAGGGTTTGACTTCTCTTTAATTTGTAAACCATGGTAGACGTGATGACCCACCTTTTCCAAAATTGCCAAAATTGACATGAATAATGAATCACAATTTGTAACAATTCTCCCGGCAGAGTGCGCGACTCGGAACTTTGAGTCCCGAGTTCGAGTCCTGACATGCCACCGATCTTGTGCCCTTGGGAAAGGCACGGCTTTCCTCACTTAGCTCAGGTGTAAATGAGTATTGTCCTGTCATATATTTGTCCCCTGTATTGGTGGCGACATTAATATAAGTTGAAAAAACTTGAGTGTGTCGTCACCACGTCTGGTGATTACATGTTGGAATTTAAAAAAAAAATTCTCCCAACAATAGTACAGAAGGAAAGGACGAAACTGTGAAAAGGTTTGACAACGGACACTGATGATCACAAATCCACCACGAACAAACACACGCCATTGTCACACCTTCAACTACCTGTGCATCCATTGTACCTGTCCTTTGTGCGCCCCTCTCACCTGAGGAAGGTGGGGGCACCTTTTTCTTTGATGTCTCACCTGTGGACACCTGTAATGTCCTTGCCTATTGTCCGAGGGAGACAAATTTCACGCTTAGTGATCCTTTCTTTCGTCAGCAGTCAAGCGCGACTGATTCGGTCGGCCCAAGACGACAGATAAAAAATTAATGGTGACCGCAAGGTGGGCCTCGGGCAACGGAAGATCTGACGATGTCCTGACAACAAATCGCTCGGGCAAAACTCTTTAAAACCTGCAACAGTCTCAGACAACAATGCAGCAGCTTTATCTATTCCTGTTTAATAAACCAAATTTAACTTCTCATACAGCCTCATACATTTAATATACAATTACTAAGAAGCGAGAGGACGTTGAAAAGACTAGAATAAATTAGACGTTTAGATATACACGTAACAGTTATTTGTATATGTGTATGTATATGATTGTAAACTTGTGCCCTGTGCTTAGCCCAGTGAGGCAAAAATATAATCTACAAACTAAGGAATAATGCAGCAGCTTCATAATCCTCAAACATAGCAGTCACAAC